ACCCAACCCTCTCCCTTTACCCTTTCTTCCGACCCGTAACATTTCCTCAGACAACTTGTTCGTCATTTGCCAAAGTTCGTCGCCAAGTAGTATACCACAAAATAGATTGCAGATTCTGAAGCCTCGTCAGACACTGAATCTGGGAGCCTTCAACGTGAGGACTCTGATGCAGGTAGGTCAACACGCGTGTCTGGCGCGCACAATGGACTCTTGGGGGATTGATGTCTGCTGCGTATCAGAGACGCGAATCCAGGATCCTGGTACTATAAGCCACTTTGGTGCACCGGAGTTGTCTTCGAGGTTCTTCCTCCGCACGTCAGGTGATAACGAAGTTCGCTCAGTAGGCCAGCGGGGTGTGGGCATTACGCTTAACAATACAGTCGAAACCGCACTACTCGAATGGATCCCCGTCAACAGTAGCTTATGTGCGATGCGGCTTTAAGGCTCTATCAGCGTCCGGAGAGGAAGCAACACCAAAAGGTGTTTGATCATTATTTCAGTGTATGCTCCGACCAACTGCTGTTCTGACGCACAAAAGGGTGGGTTTTATGACAAACTCAACAAACTCATTCGGTTGAGCAGAAGCTCCGATATGATACAGTTGTTCTTGCAGGCGACTTTAACGCTCAAAATGGAAAACTGAGCGCATCAGAAGCTTGCCTAGGCGGTCATTGTGCTCTGCCCTGCCAGCGAACAGATAATGGTGATCGACTTCTTCAGATTATCATCTGCTCCCATCCAGCACCACATTCCGACACAGCTCAAATTCAACTGGCACGCTAACTCAGACTGACCATATAGCAGTAAGATACCGTTGGCGTGGCTCAGATCATGCGTTAGTTTTGATGCACTTCACTCTCCAACTCACCGGCCGCAGAAAATCCTACCAAACTCGATTGACAGATTATCGCTTATCTAACTCAGCCATCCGTGCCCGTTTTGAATCGGAACTAGGGCGAGAGCTAAATGCGCTGCGGGGTGGTAGTGTAGATGAACAGTGGGATCAGATTAGCAGAGCAATGCACTTCGCAGCGAGTTGCTTGTGGATCTAAAGCGGTAGCCCGATCGAGGCATTGGATATCTGATCAGTCAGTTGCACTGATGGAGAAAAAGCGGCAAATCCCGACCGACCGGGATCAAGGCAGGGCTAGAGCGTCAAGAAAGACCCTGAGAACTGGTGGGCAACGATAGCCAGTGAAATGGAAGTTGCAGCTGCATCAGGGAATAGTCTGTTCCAACTGATACGCAGTACGGGAGATCGGCAAAAAAACAGCTAATGAAACAATCTGTGACAAAAGTGGGCAAGTTATTCACAATAGGGAACAACGGCTTGACCGGTGGACGGAATACTTCAACGAATAGTTCAGCTGGCCAGGCGCTAATCAGGCTATTTCCTCCGGTGTAGCTGAGGCTCCGTGGGCAGTGTCATCTGAACCTGATACTGCAGCATAAGTTCGTTCTTGCATCCAATCCCCGAAGAAAGGAAAAGCAACATGGCCGGATGGGCTTCCTCCCACTCTTTTCAAGATGGGGGGGGGCGATGACTTCGTAGACTTCATTACTGATATAATGAGTGAAATCTGGTCGCACGGGCGCATTCCATCATCTTGGAGCGAATCCCTGATCGTTCCATTTTTTAAGAAGGGATCGCGCAACGACTGTGTAAACTACGGTGGAATAAGTTGGATCCCAATCGTCATCAAGTTACTAGCCTCCATCATACTTCGATGTCTGACATCGTTTAGGGAGACAAACAACCGCGAACGATAAGCAGGATTTCGACCAGGTCGCGGTTGTATGGACCAAATCCTCACTCTGCGTCAATTCCTCGACCTACGCCATATGCATCGTCACCAACAGTTGTCGTGTTCCTAAAAGGAGCCTGCAACTAAGTTGACCGTGAATCCCTTATGGGAAGAAGTACGTGAACGCGAGCTCACTCTACTCATATACTTCTGGTAGCGTAAGGGTCTACGGCGAGCTGAGTAGGTCGTTCGTAACTAGCAGCGGTGTTCGTCAAGGGTGCCCTCTTTCAAGTTCATCATAGACGAAATACTGGAGAACGCACTAAGTGGTCTCCAAAATGTTGGTAATGAATGGGTAGCTGGAGAAAGTTATGCGATTTGGAGTACGCTGACGTCATCGTTTGCTTGTTCGAATATATGAATGATACACGAAGAGCACTTGACAAATTACTAAGTACTGTCGCTCTGTTCGGCATGTGCTTTGCACCTTCAAAGTGCAAAGTGATGTTACAAGACTGGGTGTCGCGGAGTTATGCTCTGAAACTAGGTCAGGAATTAGCTGAAGTTGATTGCTTCTCGTACTTAGGTAGCTGTGTGACAAACGACGATAGCGCATCAAAGGAGATAACCGCCCGCATTTCCAAGGCTCGAGTAGCGTACTCAGGACTGAAACACCTCTGGAGTTGAAGAGTCGCGTATACTGTGCCACTGTGCGATCAGTTCTGCTTTACGGTTGAGACCTTGAATCTGCGGGTAAAAGACATCCGTCGCCTAGTGGTTTTCGACAGTCGATGCTTACGTAGTCTGGATGGAGTGAGCGGGTTAGTAACCTAGAAGTAAGAAGTCGTCGGATATTTGGGAATGCAGCGAACACGAACTGGTTAGCGCATCGAATCCAGCTCAATAGGCTTCGTTGGTTAGGACACGTCTGGCGGATGTCCGACGGTCGCCTACTGCAGCGCGCTTTATTCGCAGTGGCTATTGCAGGCCGGAAAAAGCCGCATGGAGGCCAGCAGATTACGTGGAGACGAGGCATGAAGAAATGCACAGAGCGATTAGGTAAAGTAGGTGTCTCTAGTCTTCCGGGATGGGGTTCAAAAACTCCGAAACCCCATGGTTGGAGACACTGAATGTCATGGCCACGAACCGACAGCAATGGCGATTATGCTGTCACTTCTTGTCAGATCAGAATGCTTGAAATTGTATGTATGTACAGTTGCACTGTGTACCCTATGTTGACCACAGAGGTTCGTTTTCTTTTCCCGTCCCTAAAAGTAAGTCCCATCCTTGTCCTCTTTAAACATTCTCACTTACCTTG